GCAAAGGAAAAATGTTAAAGAAAGAAAAAGAATGGGAAATAGATTTTTTTTAAAGGTAGAGAAAGGAACAACCCAAGAGGTACAACATCTGACTAGCTGAGAACTTCATAAATAATAGTAATACTAAAAGGAAGAGAAAAGTTTAATCAGAGAATTTCCCAGGGCAAAGAAAAACATCTCCAAATTGAAGGGGTTTACTGAGTATCCAGTACAATAGAGATAAAAGGTGTTCAATTAAATAAATTAATGTGAAATTTTAGAAAGCCTTGAATCAAGACAAGATCTTAACAGTATCCAGAAAAATAAATAATAAAATAAGCAATCCCCAAAGGCAGAAGAATGCATCTGGCAAAAGGTTTTCCACTAGCAACACCTTAATTAAGAGCACTAACTCCTATACACATCCTAGAAGACAATGCAATAATGTTTTCTAAACTGGGAGATATGATCTTCAACCTGGAATTCTGAATCCACCGCAAATTGCGTAAGAGTAGAACAAGCATATTTCAGGTATGCAGTCAGAAAATTCTCCTCCCATGCCCCCTTTCTTAAGAGATTATCTGGGTACATTCTCAGTATTTAACTTCCTTAAATACTTAGTCATGAAGAACAAACCAAGAAAAGTAAATTATGTTCTTGAGAAAATAAACCAAGAAAGCAATAAATGAACCACAGAAAATGATAAATCTGTAACAACAGAACCGAAGGAAAGTGTCAAGGGTATAGCTAGGAAGCAGGCCCAGAAAGCAACCAGTTTAGGGCCTGGAAGACAGAGTACAAGAGCCGAGAAGTTTACAAGACAATGTAGATGAGAGCTTGGAAAATGAGTCTTGAGCATACAATGAAGGCCAGAATTCAACTCTGAAAAGCAATTTGACCCCTAGGAAAGGGAGTCGTTAGCTGAATACAAAGAAGGTCATATAGAAATACAAACACAGAAACATCCATCCATATCATAATACAAAGTCATTTAGATTCAAGAAAAAAAGGGAATACATATCAAAGAAAGAATAAAACAGCTGGATGGCTTGAGGCATATAATGAATAAGACAAGCATTTCCTTTCCCAAAATGCAAGGCAACCATAAACTTCAAAGAAAACAACAAATACATAAAAGGCAAAGGACAGATTAAAACAATGTATAATTTTCTGCAATTATATATATATATAGTTTTGGGGTTTTTTTTGTTTTTTTTTTTTTTTTTTGGTTTTTCTCTGCTACCGGGAATCGAACTCACAACCTTGCACTTGCCAGACAGGCGATGTGCCGCTGAGCTAAGTCCCCAGCCCGATATATTTATTTAAAAGAGTAAATACTGGGGTGTGGTTGCAGCTCAGTGGTTGCCTAGCAAAGGTAAAGCTCTCGATTTGATCCCTTGCTTCAGTTTGATCCCTGAAGAAAGATGGAGAGAGAGAGGCTTACAGAGGAAAGTAAATGTAGGATATACAAGAACTCTGTATAATCTTTGCAACTCTTCCCTCAATATAAAATAGTTCTGTAATAAAATTTTATTTTTAAAAAGTATTTGTGTATAAGTTGAAAAGTGGAAGAAATATGGGTTGTTAATGTTTCATCTTACATCTTGATTACTCAAAACTTACAGTCTACAGCTAGTGAAGCAAGAAATGGAGGTTGAAGTCTGTTGTATAAAATTGTGGAGTTGGCTGTCAAAGAACAGAAAAGAGTAGCGTAACTGCAGTGAGAAAGAGCAGGCGGCATGTGGGGTATTTGTAAACAGAAACTGTTTGCAGTTGACAAGCAAAGACCTGGCATTATAGGAATGCTTTTTGGCTTTTTGGTGTTTTGAGTTTTGTTTTGTTCTGTTGCTTTTTGCTTTTAAGAAAGCTTAAAAATAAAGCTTGACTTAGAGGAAAGACACTGGAAGTGAGAAAAGAGGAATGTCTAAGCCTTCTCATAGCATTTTGTGTTATATACATCCACTGCTTCAATTAAAAGTTTCAACATGAAACTTTTTAAAAATTCCTTTAGGGCCTGGGGATTTAGCTCATTGGCACAGTGCCTGCCTGGCAAGTACAAGGTCATGAGTTCGATTCCTGGTACTGGAAAAATAAATAAATAAATAAATAAATAAATAAATAAAAGTAAAAATTCCTTTAACCTTTCTAACTTACATGAAGACATGTATGGAAGCAGAACCCACTACAGATATTATAATTTCCAAAGGGTTGAAAGCTTCTATATTAGAATATAAAAGAACACCCTTGAGAATTTCATATATTAGACCAGTACCTACAGAGACTAATTTCTCAGAAAGGACATAAATTATTATGAATATAGAAATGTGGATTGTAAGATATAAATGTACCAAGGAAGTTGTCAAATAAACCCAAGTAACCCAACACTGCTGGACACTGGAGTTGTGCATGGTGGCACACCTGTAACCCCAGCACTTGGGCAGCGGAGGCAGGAGGATCACTGCAAGTTTGAGGGCAGCCTGTGCTACATAGTGAGACGGTGTCTCAAAAACCAAAACAAAACAAAATTTTTAAGAAGAATTTTGCTGATATTCTGAGATGAGATAAAATGGAATTTCATAAATTACTCAAAGAATGCAGAAGCAGGTATACCAGATAATGGATATAAAAGAGTTATAACATGGTGAATATTAATATAAATAGGATAGCAATTCTGGACATAAATTCAGGAAAATTTTTTAAATATCCAATTATATGCTTCCTACAAGAAATTTATTTTAGATATAAAAGACTCCAATGGTTGAAATAAAAGGATAGAGGAAGTTATTCTAGTGGTGGCAAACCTATGATATATGTGCCACAGCTGACTATATGCTATCGTTGAAAACTCTAAAAGGTTTGCCATCACTGTTATATACTAACATTGATCAAAAGGAAGCTGGGATAGCTACATTAATTTCAGACAAAGAAGATTTGGGATAAAGAAATTTATAAGAATAGGGCTGGGGATTTAGCTCAGGGGCAAAGTGCCCGCCTGGCAAGCTCAAGGTCATGAGTTCGGTTACTCGTAAAAAAAAAAAAAAAAAAAAAAAAAAAAAAAAAAAAAAACCCAAAAAGAAATTTATAAGAATAAAAAAATGGGCACCACATAATGGTAAAGGAGTCAGTTCCCAAGAAACATGTTTTCACCTAAAAACGTGTTAAAGTACATAAGGTAAAAGCTGAGAACAAAAAGAGAAAAAGACAAGTCCACAATTATAGTTGGAGCTGGGTGTGGTGGTGCTCGCCTGTAATCCCAGTACTCGGGAGGCTGAGGCAGGAGGATCACTGAGAGTTCAAGGCCAGCCTGAGCTACAAAGTGAGCTCAAGATCAGCCTGAACTGCATAGCAAGACCCTGTCTCAAAAAAAAAAAAAAAAAAAAAAAAAAACAAGAACACAATTATAGTTGGAGAACTCCAAATCCTCTGTCAATAACTGATAGATAAACCAGGCAGAAAAACCCATAAAGATACAGTTACTTGACAATCACTATGAATCTGATGGACATTTATAGAATATTGTATTCAACAACAGAATATACAGTCTTCTCAAGCAGCAAACAGTGAGGGGCCACTCACCAAGATAGACCACAAAACACACCTGAGTGAATTTAAAAGAAATGCAAAGTAACTCTAAGTTAATAATATCCATTACTTGAACACAAACAGCCCTGTAATGAAGAGAGTTGATTGACCATCCTGTCACATTTTAATGGACACATTCCCTGAAGAATATAAATTTCTTTTCCTTTCATTGTTTGTTCAGCAATACACCTTCTGATCTCTTCTCTCTGATAAATTCCTTCCCATGCTCAACCCAAACTTAAACACTGAAAACTTTAAGACAATATAATGAAAACACAAACAAAGTGAATCATTTAAAACTCCACAGAAACTCTGGGTGTGGTGGCACATGCCTGTAACCCCAGAACTCAGGAGGCTGACGCAGGAGGATCACTGCCAGTTCAAGGCCAACCTAAACTACATAGCAAAACTCTATCTCCAAAAAAAAAATCCATAGCAAAATGCAGTACTTATAGCATAAAGGATTAATGTCCATTATATAAAATATTTATAAATCAATAAGAAAATATGAGCACATTTATTCTTGAATCTTTATGCTCATGTAGTAGCCAGAGTCATAGTTTTTTTTTCTATTCCTAGATTCTTACTCTGATCTTTTGATCTTTTTGTTTTTTATTAGTATATATTTGTGGTGCATAGTAATTGCCTTTGTCTTGGGAATTTGGTACATATACCTATCATACCTTAAGCATCTTTACTTCACCAAAAAATAAATTGAGTATAAGTTGTTCTACATACTTTATAGGTAAGGAAATAATAAGCAAGCCAAGAGAACATAAATGATTTGGCTAAGGCAAAGTCAAAAGATAATTAAAACCCAGAAGTAAAATGCACCCTTTTAAGCCTAAGTCTGGCTCTTTCCCTCCATGTCGGTATTAGCTATTAGGGTAATGGTAACAGGACTTGTGCTAGTGAGGGAGCCTGCTGAACACGAGTCACTGTATGAGGATAACCCTGAGACCAGAGTTCCAGCCCCTATTTCCAAGTGGTGATGCAATCCTGACAAGGGACTGTCCCAGAAGAAAGCTGTTTAGGAGAGATGGCCAGAGCACCCCTCCCCTTGCCAAGAGACTGTAATAGCTCACGTTTCTTCAGAGCTTGGTATATGGCTAGCTAGCTCTGCTGTGGGCTTTTTTTTTTTTTTTTTTT